GTTCTTAGCTCTGTTCTTGTCACACACGTGTCAGCCATGCAGTGTGTCATTTTAAATGGCCTCTGAGGTCTTTCCAATTCGAGTCCAGTGTTCACACGCTCACCACCTGCTCATGGCTGCCTAGGCAGAGGGCTGAGCTTGTTCCTGTCTTAGTCTTGTTTGGATCTAAGACCCAAGGGCAGGACTCATTGGAGATGTATAATGTATAATGGTGGTGAGCTGTCTGTGGCAAGTGTGAGTGCTAATATTCTATACTGTGTAAATAACAGTTTACTTTGTCACTTCATTATGTGACCATCAGTAGCAGAACGAAGAGATGTGAGTAAAAGCCTAGCATGGATTCTAAGATTTTGACTTGGGGTTGGAGGAGCTCATGTAGTTCACATAACTTTAGAACGTCTTTATTATGAATAAAATGCCATAGTTCTTGGTTACATTGAGAACGATGCTGGCCGGGCGCGGTGGCTCACACCTGTAATCCCAACACTTTGGGAGGGTGAGGCGGGTGGATCATGAGGTCAAGAGATCGAGACCATCCAAACTGGAATCCCCCAGTTTTCCAGCCTGGGGTACAAATTCTGACTAGGGCTGTCCTGTTCCCAGCAGCTCTCTAGGCTGCAAGGCCTGGGTTTAACAGCTACCCCACAAGCCATGTGTACATGAGATACCACACAAGGCCAATCATGGAGAACACTGACATCTTGTCACTCAGGGCTTCTTCCCAGTGCTTCCATATTGACACAGATTATGGGGTCAGCTCACACCCACTTTTCCTTAGAGCCTTTCTCCCCCATGGCCACGTTTGGTGATGGCACTTCCATATGGTCTTTGCCTGATGTAGTTGTTGTCTCTAATTTGAAGGCTTCTTCTCCTCATTTGCTGCCTCTGACTGCACCCTCGGTGGGTTCTGGAGCAATAATCCCTACTTCCTGCCAGGAGGAATAAGTGGGAAATATTAGCTAACCTTTAAACTCGGTAAAAATGGGAGCTTTTGCCAGAAGTTGCTTGTCAAATGGAGAGGTGTGGTCTAGCAAAAGCCTCGTGGCCCTGCTGGGTGCCAGTGGGCCTGGGGCGTCAGTCCTCAGAAGATCATAGTTTACTATCCATCCACAATCTGTTGTTCAGTAAATGTTTGATGTTGAGATGGTGGATGTCCTGTGATGGTGTGGGGAGGTCTCATTATTGGAGAACACGTAAATGATGTTATCTCTAAGAGAAAAAGAAGCTAACTCTTCTGTGATCACCAAGGTGGGCAGCACAGTGGGTCTAGCCCAACTGTGATGAGGCGATGGTGGCCATCGGGTTGAGAATTAAAAAAGTGATGGCCCTTGGAAAGACCTTGGTGCCTTGGGTGTCCATAGCACATCCAGAGACATTAATAACCATGACTTTAGGAGACCACCGTGCTGCTTGAGGAGGCTGGTGGCTTGGAGATGATGAACTAAATGAGAATCCCTTAACCCACCCCAGTGTTGTGATACCCTGAGGGGGGAGCCTCCATCTAAATCAATGATAGGTGTGATTCTAAAGGAGAAAGGGAAGAAATGCCATGAAAAGAGAACATCTGCTCCACCCAGGGCATAAGGAGTTACCTTCCCTGGAAGACTATACGTGCAGAAGCCCGTAGCCAGGACTAGTGTGCTTTGTCCAGAGGCTCTGAGAGTTGTGATGGGCGGTAGTGAGGGCCTCCCCGTGAAACTCAGAACCTGGGACCCAGGCCTGGCCTGGAGAGATCACCTGCTGGGCCAGCTACAGACTGTATCCTGCTGTGGCCCCAATGGATGCGAAGGGCTTCTGAGTGGTGATATTGGTGGGCTACAGCAGAATGGACAAGTGGGGTATAGCTGTCTCCAAAGACACAATGTCCCAGTACATGGAGGGCCTGCCACAAAGTGGCTGGCACTCTAGTGGTGAGGATTTGGTTTTTAACTGCAAGGGAACTTTGTCAGCCCACTGAGGACCAACTGATGCCCAGAATCTTTACAACAGTGCTGGAGGAGTCATGAGTGTGTCCTGCAGAAACCTGGGCACTGTCCAGGAAGAGGGAGAGCGGGTGCAGCAGCCCT